AGGCAGAGCTTTCAGTTATCAAGCTCCTCAACTTCCAGTTTCTGTCCGTGAAGCTGACACTCTGTCTACTTTTAAGATTAGACTGAAGACTTTCCTTTTTGATAAATCCTATAGTTAGACTTAGGTTTCCTGAGTTATTCCTTTGTTATTATAGTTAATTAGATATAGGCTTACACTGCTGGAGCACAAACTGAGCACATTTCTTCACTCTACTGGTGTCTTTAGTCTCTCTCCTCTACATGTTTGTTATAATTAATTCTATCACTAACGTGTTTTCTTTGTCTCTCTTCCAGAGGAAAATACACCTGGACCAGTCCTGTGTTTGTTTGTGTCTCTTTCCTGTCCCCAACCCAGCCGGTCGAGGCAGATGGCCGCCTGTCCGCAGTCTGGTTCTGCTGGAGGTTTTTAACTGTTAATGGGGAGTTTTTCCTCTCCACTGCTGCCAATTGCCCAAACTGGAACCCAGTTGAGGGAAGTAGACAAACAAAAGCAGACCAAGCGATTCCAGTTATCTAAGTGTTGATTGGTGCTCGCGTTCCTTTTCCTGCTTTAGTTTAAATTTAACAACCATGAACTTCAACAAACATCGCACTGATTCATGAAGGTTTTCTAAATGTCCTAACGGTGTTTTATTTCATTTTTTTTGTTTTGCACATCATACCTGCTTTGGTGGGATTTTCTGCCACCCATGCGATTGTGATGCCTCCAATCTCAGAGTCACTGAAGCGCAGAAGAAAGGTACCGTTGGGTTTGGACATCAACATATCCTGAGCCTGTTGCTTGTTCACAAAACCCAGGATAGCTCTGCGAAAACAGGGTTATATATAAATAGAAAGAAAATTTCTGACACCCCCCCAACCCCCACCCCCCATTCACTGCTGCTTTTCATTTCTGGTTGCCATGGAAAATCAAGCAAATGAACTGTTGTTCGAGTATCAAAGTGWGAGCAGGGAAACAGGAAGTGCTATAAAATTGTCAAAATGAAAARATACTGTAAGATTAGGCCTTTAATTTAGGCTGTTTTGACAAAATTTATGACCAAATATAAAACCTAACAGACAAAACCCTCAAAATCGTCCTCACCCGTCATTCCAATGAGGTTTGAGATGCTTTTTTGTGAGTTCCATCACTCCATCAAACCACTGCCAAAACGTAAAGTTCCTCCCAGGCAAGCTTTCCTGCAGACAAACATCATTTTAAAAAACTGATTCACAAAATTTCATTTATAAAACAGGATTGACAGTATAATTTTCCTCTTCTTTTGTAATTTACTTCTGCATACTTTGTGCTTTTTGTAGTCATTCATAAAAACTGTTCAGCTCATTCTGGAGTTGTGTGCTATGGCTTTTAGTTTTTGTCATTTTTATAGTTTTTAAAACATTAAACTGTATTTACAAGTACTTTTCCCTATAGAAATCCACTGAGAACTCCAAAAATCATTTCTCTCCTTGAAATATGCTCACATTTTTTAATGCTACTTTAAAGCTTTAGCTAACCTATTGCTACATTTACTTAGCCTTTGGCTACGTTTAGCTTTAGTTAGCCTTTTGTTATTTTTAKATTCTCTAGCATTTGGCTACAGTTGGTGTTCAGTAGGTTGCTCTTTTAGGTTTTAGAGTTTTGCTTCTTTCTGCTTGAAGAAATCAGTTTCGACCTCTTCAACAGATTTCAGCAAAAACATTTTGCGCTCACTTCAATTTGAAATAAACTGGGATCGCTCTGGTTTAAAATGTTTTTACATTTTCTCAAAGCAACGGGGTTGCACAACAATGAAAAAATAAATAAAAACCTCCACAACAGTTCAATTTCACCCCAGTTTTCAACAGTACGAGTAAATACTGAGTGACGGGGTAAAACTGTTCATGTCTTGATATCCCTGATGCATATTTGTGAAGCGGATGAAACCGAACGTTCCCGTTATCCAATAATAATGGCGTGTAGTGAATATGAGTACATTTTCCGCCTTTGAGCCAGAAACAAGAGGCCTCCGGCATTTTTCTGGGTGGACAAACAGGGTCATTAGGATGAAGACCTGGCTACAAGCGAAGCATTCTTTCTCAAACTGACCACAAAATGGAGCTGCAGTGATTTCTGAGTATGAATATCATGGCGACAGCAAGTTCCCATCAATCCCAAGCATGTGGCTGAAATATGTGTTGGATAGTGGTTTGTGGGTTTTGTTTTATTATGCATGAGATAAAAAAAATGTCTAACTGCAGTAGGACAGAAATCTATTCATTGCAGCTGAACATAACAGATAAATATAAAGTTTGTTACAAATGTCTTAACGCTGCTCACCCTGTTAAACTGTGACCAGGTCATTGTCATGCTCCGGTAGTCGTCTGGATTGTTGCTGGAGCTGCTGAAAGCCTTTTGAGCCAAGAAGACCAGGTTCTCCTCAGACAGGCCTCGGTTGCTCTGCACCTCTGCCTTGTACTTCATGTTGATGGCTTCACACAGCTGAGGCCAAAGCACCTTATCTGGCACCAGGAAAGGCACTCGACCCTGCAGATAGAGAAGGCAGCTGGGGATTTAGACGAGCTGACGGGACTAAAAAAGGAGGATGGAACATGGCAACTTGTATTTAAATGTCCAAAAGTGGCCATTTTCAGTTTGTACAAAAGACAATTTCATTTCATGCTGATGCATTTTAAAGTATAAACCCATTATTCTATTTTACTGAAACCCAAAAAGTTCATTGTGATTTTTTATAAAATAATTCAGTTATTCAGCAAACAGATGTTTTCACTACATGTGTGGGGTTTTCGGAGCRTGTAGCATCTGTTTCCATTTGATTAAATTGTCCAACTACTAATGCCTTGCTATCATATTCATTATTAATTTAAGTGTTTATTTAATTATTAAACGTCTTCATTATTTTGTGCATCAATTTGTAAAAAAACATAATGTGACTGTGTGGGGGAAAAAGGCTATAGCAAGACAAATAACAATAATAATAAAATGTTTTTGGGCTAATTAAAAAAACTAACTTATTTTAAAAAATCACATAGAAAATGACACACATTCACAAATATTTACTCACCGCCTCTGCAAAAGCATTGTCCCACAAAACAGTCGCTGTGGCATTATTGTCTTGGCTACCGTGAACTATCACCACAACAGGAAGTGATAATGTCTGCTCAGAAAAAAAAAAATACAAAAAAAGGGAAGGCCATTACAGTAAATGATGCAACTTACCACACTGCTATTAACCTTTTCATAGATTTATTGTAAAGATGAATTATTTTAGGAGACATCATCACAAATACTGATATAAAAAAAGCAGAATAAACTGAATGTGTTGTAGCCTAGTTTCAAGCTTCTCTGAGAAACGCTGCCTACTGACTGTAAAGGGACTTCWCTGTGTTTTGATCTCATTATTATCTACACACCAGCTCTTACCTTCACTTGGAAAACAAGCTCGTTGCTTCCGACACTAAACTGGGACTCGAACAGAATGGTGAACTTCTCTTCTGTGACYGACTCTGCTCCTCGTCTGTCCGATCGCTTGATCCTTTTTAAAGACTAAATGAGAGATGGAGCAAAAGAATACATAGTATGAATACTTACTGACTATGGAGCTAAAGTATAAGCTTGTAATGACTCTTTGAGTCTGACTGGCATCAAAATAATCCACAAGAGGCTCTGAAGGGACTGTTGCTAACAACATGTATAATGTGAAGGGAGGGGGGGCTTACAGTTAACTTGCCTGGTAAAATAATGGTAAATAAATAAATAGCAATAAATAACTACAGCGACCATCAACTATCAACTCAGCTTTACTAATAAAGCACATTTGTATTGTTATTATCCCACACCCACAGGTAGTTGGCTCCAGAGGACAGGGCTCTGGAAAGCTCAGCCTCCCATTCAGRTTCTTAACATTGAAGCAACTAAAAGACATTAAAGCATTCTGAGAGCTGCTTTAAACAAGACAGGACTAGGCCATTCAGGGCTTTGTAAGCAATGGAAATGATTTTGAATTCAATTCTGAAGCTCACATGGAGCCGGAGACAGAGATTTCAGAACAGAAGTGATGTAATTTTGCCTAGAAGTAGCTGTTAGCATGCTAGCCGCAGCACTCTGGAGCAGGCCTGTCACGATAACGATAAATTGTCTCAGGAATTATTGYGATAAACGATAGTATTGTTTGGAGACCGAATGATCCCTCTGCTTACGAAGTTTTTTAATGAAACTTACATACTTAAAAAGTAGGGGTGCAACGATAYAGAAAATTCACGATTCGGTTTGATACTTTAGTCTCATGGTTCGATATTTTTTCGATACAAAAAAGTGAAATTTACATGTCCCTTTTAACTTGTAATTTATTTAAATTAATTATGAACATTTGTTTAACCTCAAAAGTACAGTTTTTTAATGACATGTTGCTGAAACAGCAAGTTTCTCGGTGGATCTGCGCTCAAAAATGCAGCCTAGGTGGAGTAGTCGAACACAGATCCACTGATCCTTTAATACAGAGCATCTTCACAAGACAAGTTGATAAATTTTAAAAATCTGTATTGTTCGATACAAGTGTGTAYTGAACCTAAAGCACTGTTCGATACGGTTCGATATGGGTACATGCGTTGTTGCACCCCTACTAAAAAAGAGAAAGTTATGACTTGACTGAAACCAGAGATTGGAAAAAAACCAACGCCCAAAAACAGCTGCTGAAGCCATGAAATCTCTTCCTCTATCTAAGCAGCCCAGTTTATTGTGTATGCCTTCCTCTGGCTTCATAAAATTATTGCGGTCACCCGCACGCTACCTCTGAAATTTACAAGTTTTTCTAATTAGTGTAACATAGTGAAACCAAGGTTCGGCACCGTACCCTGAAGACATTTTGAGGCGTCGAAATTGTCAACCTAATTTATTGTGCCATTAATTGATTTATTGCTCATCGCGACAGGCCAGTTTTGGAGTCGTAAGGGACCTAAAGAAGATTTCGGGCACTCGGCTAAAATGGATTTACAATAATCAAGTCTGCAGGTGATAAAACCAGTCTTTACCTCAGCGGGTTCATCAAGTTCTTCCACACCCAACTCATCAAACAATATTTACAGCAGTTGATTTGTGCACTAAAAAAATAACAGCTTTCCACAAAATGTTTCCATAAAGTTTAAAGGCGTATCGTCGTCTAAAAGGTCTCGGTGTCCTGGAGAATTATCATCGTTCATTACTGGAGATAAGCAGCCTCGTTCAAGAGTGTAAGAAGTACCAGGTGTGGCAAAATACTTTGGTCAATGGGAGGCCACCACCATACATAGTTTGGTAAACAAAAGAGAAAATACTGGTGCTAGGCTACAACATGCAGATAAATCCCTGCTTATAAATTCACACAAACTCTTTGACCCCTTTCAAGGTAATACTAGGAACTAAAGTTTTTTTTTGATGATTCCACCACCATGAAATCATTTTTTCATTTAAAACATAAAGGCCACTTACCATGTTCCTGAAGTGGGCACTGAGAGTGCMTGTGGTTTGATGGTACTCCATCACACAGTTATTGTTAAGAATTTCTCCGCTGCTCTCGCTGAGAAAGAAAGACAATTAGAGAGAGAGAGAGTCAATTAGCTCTTCTGTCTAATCTGATGGACTTAAGTGCAATGAGCTAGCTTCTCTACAGTGTTCCCAGGTTCTAAGAAGACGTTTTTCCTGTATAACAGAAATGTGCTGCAATCACCATCTTTAACTTCTCTTGATCAGAAGTGCATGTTTTTACAGTAGATGATGTGCAGCAGATGATGGATGAACTGTTCACCCATACTAGCTGACCTCAGGGTGGTTAGGAAGGTTTCAATAAGTTATGATGAATGTGGAGCAAGACTGAGAAACAGGCTAAAAATGGATTCTGGAGACACACCATAGACTCCTCTGAGACATTGTTCAAGTTCCAGTCATGTCTATGTGTTGAGGTCTACCAGAGCTCACCCTGGGATTAAATAATTCTCACAGAAACCCTAAAGCTTGTTATTTCATTGTTTAACAAAAGGCTTTAAGCGCACACCGACACACTGGCTGGACTTACTTTCTTGTGTTTTCATTTTTTAGCAGGGCCTTGGCTTGCTGCTCACTAATTATGGTGGCTTTGACTTGTGGAGGGTTCATGTGCACGTTTAACTTCCCCCCAACGAGGAGGCGGACTGTGGCAGCGAACTTGGTTTGGGTTTTCAGGACTTGAGGAGGCTGCTTCTCAATGATGAAGGTGCTGAGAACACACACACACACACACAAATAATAATAAAGGAGAAAAACAGAACAAAAGAACGTTGATTAGTTTCATCACCTTTAATGATGCCAATGTGCTGGAAAAACAAAACGTAATAAAGCCTGAAGTGTAGCTTTGCTGCTCAGTGAGAAAGCTGCTTCTTTTCATGTAGTTATTATCAACAAAACACACAACTGGGTCTTTATAAAAGCACCTTTTAGGGTTAATAGTTTTTTAAATGATCAGATTGTTTCTAGATTTGTGACCCATCACATCGAAACGAGGATTAAGTCCAAAAGTGGTACATGGAGAAAAAGGCAAATATAGTGTTTTTACTAAAATGTTAACAAAAATTGCATTTTGTCAAAATATAATGAATAAAATCCTTAACAATGTACCATTTGAATGAAGTGTCTGAAATATAATCATAACACAAAATTTTGAAGCACTTTTTTGAGCAGTAGCAAAAAAACCTCTGATTTTGAGGAAAAAATGCCTTAAAATTTTGAGATTGTCCCTTTGAGTTCGCAAAGTTTTTTTTTACTCTTTTTAGCTGGGAAATCTCAATATCCAAATATAGTTTGAAGTTTCCTCTTCATAAGGACATCAAAAATTCTTCATTAAAATGACATAAAATTAGGATTCAGACCAAATATTTATGTATTATTGTAACCAACAAGAC